AAATCATAGCCTTTAACACCGCCTGAAATTGTTTTATCTGTCTACTTGTCTATCACTCTCCACATTCCACAACAAATAAAATACAGACATGTGCATACACACATGCGCACGCGTGCACACACACACACACACACACACAGACTATCAGAAGTAGGTCATAAAGAATTTTGGGAGAGGTAAAAGCATTTAAATTGTGAAGGGGATGTCTCACCAAGGAAATGACATTTAATGTAAAAACTGAATGAGGAGGGGCACCTGGGTGGCTCAGGTCATGATCTCACAGTTCGTGGGCTTGAGCCCCACATTGGGCTCTGCACTGACAGCCTGGAGCCTGCTTCGCATTCTGTGTCTCCCTCTCTCTCTGCCCCTCCCCTGCTCACACTCTGTCTCCGTCTCTCAAAAATGAATAAACATTTTTTAAAAACTGAATGATGAGAAGTTGACAAGTAAGCAAAGCAGATAGAACAGCTAGTGTGAGGTCTTAGGATCAACAGTGCCATCTGCCTGGTAAAAGAATACCGAGGCATTAAAGGATGGCCAGCCTGCCTTCCCTTACTTCCCGCAGGCCTGGCTATTTCAGGGACACAAAGAGAGTCAATATGTGTACCGACTGAGTGGAAGAGTGTTCCCAGAAAAAGACTGAGTGATGGGTAGGGAACAGATCATATATAGCTTTGTCAATCTGTATAGGAACTCTGAGTTTTACCTTAAGTTCAACATGAAGCCCCTGGAGGTTTATAAGCAAGAGACAGGATAAACGCTAATTTTTTAAACTTCTCTCTGACAGATGATAAGGCACAAAGATGATAGTGACAATGGAAGGTATAGAAGCACTGAGGATATATTTACAGGCAGAGTCAGCAGAACTTGCTATCATATGGGAAGTAGAGGGTGAGAGAAGTAGAGAAATTAAGGCTGACTCCTATATATTGAGCCTAAGTAACTGAGTAATCGTAGCGATGTTAACTGAAATGGGGAATACCGTGGGGAGGAAAAATCAGGAGCAGGAATTGAGAAGGTGGACTCAAATATTCTGCTTTAGACTAAATTTGAGCAGCCCGCTGATACTCAAGTGGAGATGTCAGGTAGCAAAGGACTATATGAGTTTGTATTAAGGGCAGAGATCAGCTGTGATGGTATATATTTGAAAATTGTTAGTGCAGCGATGCTGTTTGGGCCATGGCCTTAGGGAGGGAGTATAGCTAAGAAGGATAGACAGTCTGATACTGAGCCCTGAGAGTCTCCAAGATCTAGAGGCTGAGCACAGGAGTTACAACTCTGTAAGCATAAGAACAACAATGAGGCAGAATTGGAACAACGATCAATGAGGTAGAGTGACTGTCAGGAGGGGTTAAAAACGAGAAGGAAAGAGGGGCGCCTGGGTGACTCCGTCAGTGGAGCGTCCGACTTTGGCTCAGGTCATGATCTCGCAGTTTGTGAGTTCGAGCCCCACGTCGGGCTCTGTGCTGACAGCTTGGAGCCTGAAGCCTGCTTCAGATTCTGTGTCTCCTCCTCTCTCTGCCCCTCCCCTGCTCATGCTCTGTCTCTCTCTCTCTCAGTAATAAATAAACGTTAAGGAAAAAAATTCTTTTTTTAAATGAGAAGGAAAGAGAAGTCAGCCTGTTGAATGCTGCCAAACGGTCATGAGTAATGAAGACAGAAAAGTTTGCTACATTTCATTACCTTACCAATTCAGAGGAATGGTGGACCCTACCACTCAATTGGGATGAGTTCAGACCAGTAAAAGACAGAAAATTGTGAAGACAATGAGTGATTACTGACCGTCCTTTTACATTTTTTGTAATGTTTATTTACTTTTGAGACAATGCGAGAGACAGACTGCAAGCAGCGGAGGGGCAGACAGAGGGAGCCACGGAATCTGAAGCGGGCTCCAGGCTCCAAGCTGTCAGCCCAGAGCCCGACACGGGGCTCGAACTCACGGACCGTGAGATCCTGACCTGAGCCGAAGTCAGGCACTCAACCGACTGAGCCACCCAGGCGCCCCACTGACTGTCCTTTTAGAAACTTGGCTGAGGAGGGGCGAGAAGAGGGATGGGGAGCAGCTAGGAAGGGAACTGGAGTCAAGGAAAACTCTGCAGGTATTTTTCAAGATGTGAGATACTCAAGCCCATGTATACATTGATGAGAATAAACCAGGAGACAGGGAGGAAGTTGATGGTAGCAGGAAGAGGGCATAACAGAAGTGAAGACTTTGACAAGTGCCATTGGGCCCCACAGCCTGAGCAGAAGACCTGGCCTAAGGTAAGGACGGACGCCACTGAGCCAGGAAGCCAAGCAAGCAGAGAGTGTGCACAGAGACCACAAGTGAGTAGATTTGGTAAAAGGGAGATGAGGGGTTCACAGCTGACTGTTCTAATTTCTTAGCGAGGTAAGAGGCAAGATCATGACTTGAAAACAGATGGTGGGGATCCAGGTGTTGACAACGTGTGGAGAGCAGAAAACGTGTAAAATATAATTTTAAAGATAGGGCAAGCCCACATATTGGAGGACTCCGGGGACACTGGGGAATGCCCACTAGAGACTGTCCGTGAGTTCCAAAGTAGACTGGCGCCACGACTGTGGGCCATTTTCTCACCTTTCTGTTAGTCAAGTGCAGACAAGGAGTACTCTAACCAGATCTGGAGTTTGCCAGGTGAGGTTGACAAAGAGGAGGCGAGGGAGTTGAATAAGTTAAAGGCGAATGGTTACAATGCTGGATCATATTATCTCGTTTGGCTAAGAAAAAAAAAATGTGCAGACATGGAGAAGACTAGAAAAGTAAGAAAAATGGTTAGGGGGAAAGAGTGGGCATCTCCAGGAGGACGAGAAATGATTTGAAATGGAGCGTTCTAGGTTAGGAGCCGTAAGTTTAAGAGGCACTGGCCAGAGACTGGAATACAGAAATCAAGATTTCCAGGTATACAGTTATTGGTGGTCAGTAGTGTTTAAATAGGCAGAGATAGGCTGGAAGGAAAGGTGCCTGGAAATGAGGAAGTCAACGAACTGCGAGGCCAGGGTGCTGTCTTGGTTGTGTTTAAGGGCATTTAAGGACCCCCCCCCCCCGCCACCGGTTCCAGGAGTAAGACAGAGATGAACAACTTGGTGAACGTGGTGCTGCAGTCTTCAGTGGACAAGGGGAAGTGGCCAGAAGGTTAGGATGATGACAGCAACAAGCGTGAGCAGTGGGCGGTGTTGTCTTGTGGCATGAATTTCCAGCAGTTGGGTGTTGAGAAGACAGACAGAAGAGGAGTTGTTGCAAGTGACACCTGCGAGCCAGGAGCATACCTCCTCCAAGTCCCAGCCCAGAGAAAAGAGTGTTTTGAGAGAGAAACAAAGAGCCTCCAGGTGACAGGCAAATCAGTGTTCCCAGGGAAAAGTCGGGTTTTGATCACAACGTGAAAATGAAGGGAACACTGAGGGCATAAGGGAGTTTGAAGATGTCGGGCTCCAAATTCCAGCAGGCTCTGCAGAACATTTCGGGAGAGCGGGGTGAAGGGGACAGATTAAGTACATGGTAGTCAATGAAAGGCCCAGAGGATACAGGAGCAGCCATGAAGACTGGGATCCTACGGCCTCTGAGAAGAGCTAAATTCAAGCAGAAAGACATGGGGGCATGAGGTCACTGACCTCTCAGTTCCCCAGGATGCAGCAGCCAAGAAGATAAGCAAATTCCTCTCAAACAGGAATGTCTTCCTGGGCCCTGCCTCACAGAGGTCTCTGGTTCTGTACTGCTCTCCAAGGTCACCCTGTACCGCTCTCCCTCCCTCTTTTCTGCTCTGGTCCTGATGGGATTTTTCTCAGTGCCTCAAAGACACCATGTTTCCTCCCACCTCAGTACCTACACTGACCCAAGTGATCTCTCCACTTTCTTCCTTTGACATAGTCTTACTCAGCCTTCAGGTTTCCATCTAAGTATGAGTTCTTCTCTTACCCCAATTCCACACTTCCATGGCACTTTCTAGCTCTTCATGAAATTTCTGTCGAACAAGAGTTTTCAATGCTGGATTGTAAGCTCCGTGATGGCGGAGACTACATTTTCTTCTCTTCTCCATCCTCCTGTACGCAGTATAAATTTGTGCCTACACGGCACTCAATTACTCTCTACCAACAGACTGACTGAAAAACTAGTCTGACTGGTGTCAATGCATTCCAGAGTAAAATACCATCAGCTCAAGAAACAAATCAATCAGGAAGTGTCTGGATGGCTCAGTAGTTTAAGCATCCAATTCTTGATTTCGGCTCAGATCATGATCTCACAGTTGTGGGATAGAGCCCCGAGTCGGGGCTTAGCATGGAGCTTGCTTAAGATTCTCTTCCCTCTCCCTCTGCCCTTCTCCCACTCACACGGGCACACACACCCATTTTCTCTCTCTCTCTCTCTCTCTTAAAAAAAAGGAAAAACAATCAGGATTGATTTTACTTTAACCTGTTGGGCTATTCCTAATTAACTGTTACTAATTAATTAGCAATTGCTTAGAAAGTTTATCAGGGTATTACTTATTCTTTCCGGTACCTTTCATGTAAACTCCTATTGGCACAGGTTTCCTTATTTTTTCCTTCAAAACAACATTGGAACATGTGAATCAAATCATCATCCAAACTTCATTTTGTAGTCTCATACTGAACCCATCCCTTAGATTCAAAGACATAAAATCTCACTAACAACATCCTGCAGGACTGGGACGGACACATAGAAACAGTAAGTTACCTGCACACGAGATATAAGCTTCCTCTTTTGCAGAGCATGATCTGTGTTTCCACGGACCAGAAGGACATTGCCAGAGAGAGAAATCGGTTTTCCGACACTGGATTTGATCCACCCACCGAAGTCTAGAACCCTCCCTGGGAACTACGGAAGAGTCGAGGGTCCCATTGTCTCCACAGCCAAGCTGTCTACAGATGATGGACAAGGTCATGGGTGTCATGGGGCTGTGGCAGACACTGCCCCAGGTCCCGTTGTAGAAAACTTCCAGCCACCCGGCACACTCCTGGTCCTCGCTCACCAACCTGAGGTTCAGGAAGTCTACATCGAAAGGAGAGAGAGGGGGAAACAGTCCACAGTAAACATTCCACTCAAATGCTCTTGATTTTTTTTTTTTTCTCTCCATGCCAGAGATGGTGAACGTGCATCGCTGACTCTGCTGAGGAAGCACCCACGGGATGACAAGGCTGAAATCTGTCTCCCTTCTACCTGCTCTTGTCTGTTTGTGTCTGTCTTTCTATTTCCACCACAATGACGTAATGGACTATGAACAGAGAGGGCACTCTCCACGGAGGGCAAGCTGAATCCTGCTTCCTGACAAAACTTCTAACAGAGTCTGGGAAAGAGAGTGTGGAAAGTGGGATGCTGGCAAAATAACGCCCCCTCAAAGGTGTGGTGTAAATATGTTACCTTACATGGCAAAAGAGACTTCGCAGATGTGATCAAGTTAAGGACCTTGGGATGGTGACATTAACCATAATGGAATATGTGGAATATAACCATAGTGGAATAGTGTGGGTTAAGCAGGTGAGCCCAAATCCAATCACGTCCTTAAAACCGGGAAGACTTTTCCAGCTTCAGTCAGAGGGAAACGTGACTATGGAAGAATGGGAAGAATGCTCAGAGGGAGCAACGTTGTCAGCCTGAAGACAAAGAGAGGGAGCTAACTACCAGCCAGGGAATGCACACGGCCTTAAGAAACTAGCAAACATGGAGAAAAGGGATCTCCCCTAGAGCCTCCAGAAAGAATGCTGCCCTGCTGACACGTTGGTTGGAGCCCAGCGAGACCCTTGGTAGACTTCTAACAAACAAAACTCTAAATTCATAAATTTGTGGGGCGCCTGGGTGGCTCACTCGGTTGAGCGTCCGACTTCGGCTCAGGTCGTGATCTCGCGGTCCGTGAGTTCAAGCCCCGCGTCGGCCCTGTGCTGACAGCTCGGAGCCTGGAGCCTGCTTGGATTCTGTGTGTGTGTGTGTGTGTGTGTGTGTGTGTGTCTTTGCCCCTCCCCCACTCGCGCTCTGTCTCTCTCACTCTCAAAAATGAATAAATGTTAAAAAAATTGTTTTTTAATTTAATAAATTTGTGTGGTTTCTACCACTAACGGTGTGGTCATGCATTTCAACAGCAATGGGACCTCAAGACTTTGCCGCCACAGAAAACTGAAGAGCGGGCCCTGCTTTCGAATGGAAACTGTAGGAAATGGCTGTCAGGAGGTCTTGCTGAGAAGGAAAGACCTCAACCCCAGCTGCCACAGGAGGAAAAGAAAGCATCTAAGCTTCACATCTGCTAGAAAGCCCGGCACTGGGGCAGGAAGCTTTCTTCTCCTCTGGCCCTTTCAGCAACACCCCCTCAGGGCTCAGCCTCCCCTCTTGCAGAGCCCCCCACCTCCTCTCCCAACCTGCAGACGGGGTGCGGGAGGACCTGAGCAGACGACCCCGGCGTCTTCCTTGTGCCTGCAGTCGTGCTGCCCCCAGCCCCGGGCGGGGCACTTCCAAATGTGAGACTCCTTTCCTGTGCAGTTCACGTCGTCCAGCCAGATGGAGTCTGATCCCGCCCCGAAGTGAGCGGAGACCGTGGCATTGAGGGCCTCGCCGCAGCCCAGCTGTCTGCACACCACGTGGGCATCGTTCAGGTCCCAGCTGTCATCACAGACGGTGCCCCAGGAGTCCTGGTAGCGGATCTCCACTCTGCCAGCGCAGGGACCGCCTCCGCCCACCAGGCGGAGCTGTCTGTGATCTGAGGGGAGAATCAGGCCACTGGGGCATCGAACAGGAAACGGGAAGGGCTTTCTGGTCCAGTGGGACCCCTCACCTGAGCAGTTGGGAGCACTCTCCCCTGAGCCCGCAGAGGCCGCCGGCTCAGACGCAGAGTCGTCGCACTGGGGCAGTACCTGGGTCTGGTTTCCTGCAGAAACAGCAAGGTCAGAGGGTTACTAGGGTCGGAGAACAGGAAGCTGACTTAAACTAAATATGGAACCTGGGGCCGGGGTCTGAGATGAAAGCTGTTACGTGAGAGTAATGTTATCATAATGGTAGAATTCACTTCCTGCTTCTGACAAGGCCAAGATTTGTCTTTCAAGCCAAGTGCGGCACTAAGCATGAATTGTAAAATGTGGGAATGTATCGGGGCACCTGGGTGGCTCAGTCGGTTAAATGTCCTACCCTTAGGTTTTGGCTGAGGTCATGATCTCACTGTTGACAGGTTCAAGCCCCTCACTGGGCTCTGCGCTGGCAGCACTGAGCCTCCTTGGGATTCTCTCTCCTCTCTCTCGGCCCCTCCCCCACTCATGCTGTCTCTCTCTCTCTCTCTCTCTCTCTCTCTCATAATAAATAAACTCAAAAAAAAAATAAGTGGCAATATATCAGTACTGCTTGAAAGCGTTGAAGATCTACCAAGGCAGTGAGAATTTGGGGAGCCAAGCTCTAAGAGAAAAGACGGCCAGAGGTGAGCCACTTCCCCTCGAGGCCTTTGTCAATTCCAAGACTCTAGCGAAGATGCGGAAAAGGTTCAGCACAGGTTTTGCCAGACTCACAGGGCTCTGGGAATAAAAGAATAATTGAGGGTCAGCCAAGGAGGAGGCACCCTATTAACTAGAGCCCTTGAACCATAGAAAGAAAACTGAACTAAAAGTAGACTATTCCTCACAAGGACAGATGCACAGCATCTAATCATGCAATTCCTTTAAATAAGATGATCTGGCCATAAACAGGTGCCAGGAGGAAGCAAAGTAAAATCCTTTCTGAAGGATTGCTATAATGTTTCATCTATGATGTCTGCCAATCAAAAATGCCCAGGCAGAGGGGCACCTGGCTGGTTCCGCCGGTAGAGCATGAGACTCTTGATCTTGGGGTCATGAGTTGGAGCCCCATGCTGGGGTAGAGATTACATTAAAAAATTAAAATCTAAAAATAGTAATAACCGGGAATAAAAGAGAAGAGATTTGACAAAAATCCAGGAGGATAAAAGAGGCATTGGAAAGAAATGTACAGGGTATCCAGTTGTTGGAGTTACCTGACAAGGAGTTTAAATTACCACGAATGAAATGTTTGTGGGGGCGCCCGGGTGGCTCAGTTGGTTATGCGTCTGACTCTTGATTTCAGCTCAGGTCATGATCTTACTTCATGAGATCAAGACCCACATCGGGGTCTGCACTGACAGCATGGATCCTGCTTGGGATTCTCCCTCTTCCTCTCTCTGTCCCTGCCATCCCCCGTCAAAAATAAATAAACTTTTTAAAAATTTTATTTAAGGGGCGCCTGGGTGGCGCAGTCGGTTAAGCGTCCGACTTCAGCCAGGTCACGATCTCGCGGTCCGTGAGTTCGAGCCCCGCGTCAGGCTCTGGGCTGATGGCTCAGAGCCTGGAGCCTGTTTCCGATTCTGTGTCTCCCTCTCTCTCTGCCCCTCCCCCGTTCATGCTCTGTCTCTCTCTGTCCCAAAAATAAATAAACGTTGAAAAAAAATTTAAAAATTTTATTTAAAAAAAATGCATCTGAAAGATGTATAGGATATACTGAGATATATATTGCCAAATTATCTTCCAGGAATTTTGTAGTCTTTGCTCTTCTACTAAACTATATTTTTCTACTACCGCATACCTACCACTAACATCGAATATCTTAATATTTTTAAATCACTGTCAACATGGTAAAATAATCTCTACTTTGAAAAAAGACAAATCCAATTTTCACTCATGCAGGATGGCATCTAATATCAATTTACCATGCTTGTACAAGATTTCATTCTCCTGACTATGGCCACAACTCAAATTGGAAGGAGATTCTACATAATAACTGGCTCGTATTCTTTAAAAAATGTCAATGAGAAAAAATGAAATATGGTCTTTTGTAGCAACGTGGATGGAACTGGAGAGTGTGATGCTAAGTGAAATAAGCCATACAGAGAAAGACAGATACCATATGGTTTCACTCTTATGTGGATCCTGAGAAACTCAACAGGAACCCATGGGGGAGGGGAAGGAAGAAAAAAAAAAAAAAGAGGTTAGAGTGGGAGAGAGCCAAAGCATAAGAGACTGTTGAGAACTGAGAGCAAACTGAGGGTTGATGGGGGGTGGGAGGGAGGAGAGGGTGGGTGATGGGTATTGAGGAGGGCACCTTTTGGGATGAGCACTGGGTGTTGTATGGAAACCAATTTGACAATAAATTTCATATATAAATAAAAAAAAAGTTAAAAAAAAATGTCAATGTCATGGGGCGCCTGGGTGACAGTCGGTTGAGCGTCTGACCCTTGATTTCGACTCGGGTCACGATCTCACAGTACATGGGATCGAGCCTCGTTTTGAGCTCCATGCTGAGCGTGGAACCTGCTTAAAAGACTCTCGCTTTCCTTCTGCCCCTCCACCCTGCTCATGCTCTGTCTCTCTAAAAAATAAGTCAATGTCATGAAATACAAAGTGAGATTCAGGAAGTGTCCTTTATTAGAGAAGACTAAGGGGTATGACAACTGAATGTAGCGTATTACCTCACCTCTTTTTTTGCCGCGAAGTATGCATTTGGGACAGTTGTGAAATTCTGAATAAGGCTTGTGAACTAGATAATAGAATTATAACAATGCTAATCGATCAAGAGATGAATGGAGAAAGAAGATGCGTCATATATATAATGTAATATTATTCGACCATGAGAAAGAAGGAAATTCTGTCATTTAAGACACCAGGGATGGATAGTGACAGCATTATGCTAAATGGAATAAGTCGGAAAGAGAAAGATGGGTAGCGCATGATATCATTTTTAGGTGGAATCCAAAAACAATCAAAATCATAGAAATATGGAATAGAAAAGCTGTTGCCAGGGGGCGTGGGGTGAAGGAAATAGGGAGAGTTTTATAAAAACGTACAGACTTCCAGTTATAAGATGAATAAGTTCTGAGAGTCTAATGCATAACACGGTGACGACAGCTGCTAACACCGTATTGTATAATTGAAATTTGCTCTCAGAGTTGAACTTAAATGTTCTCACACACACACAAAAAGATAAATGTGTGAGGCCAAAGCTGTATTAATTAACTAGAATGGGGGAATCGTCTCACAATGCACATGCATATCCAGTCACCGTATTGTACCTTTCAAATGTCTTACAATTTTGTCAGGGACACCTCAGGAAAGCTGAAATTTAAAAATATTGTTGCTTAAAAAAAAAACATGATTACAGTTTGATTGAGGTGGGATTTAATCTACAGATGAATTCTGAGGTAACCAACTTTGACAATATTTAGTATTTTCAACTCATTTATATGGTGTGTCTGTCCATTGTTTACATCTTCTTTAATTTGTCTTGAAGATCTTTTATGTCTTTGATTAGCTTTTCTCCCCAGTATTTTATGTTTTGATCTTTTCTGTGAGTAGTACAGCTTTTTATCTATTTTCTATTTATTGATACTATTTATTAAGAAAATTATTTTTTGCATATATTTTGTGCATGGGCTTGTACTTAGCAATGTTATAGTTAGACTATAACTTCTAATAACCTAACTGTAGATTCTCTTGGGTTTTCTTGCAGTCATGCAGTCTATAAATAATTGTTTTGTTTCTTCCTTTCTAATTCTTATACTTAAAAATTTTTTGTGCTCTAGTAAACTATTGGATAACAATGGTGGTAGATATTAATATCATCTCTCTCATCTGAGGGAAAAATATTTCAATATTTCACCAGTGACATTTTCACCAGATTTTTTTTTTAATTTTTTTTTCAACGTTTATTTATTTTTGGGACAGAGAGAGACAGCATGAACGGGGGAGGGGCAGAGAGAGAGGGAGACACAGAATCGGAAACAGGCTCCAGGCTCTGAGCCATCAGCCCAGAGCCTGACGCGGGGCTCGAACTCACGGACCGTGAGATCGTGACCTGGCTGAAGTCGGACGCTTAACTGACTGCGCCACCCAGGCGCCCCTCACCAGATTTTTTTAATGAGGCCTTTGTAGACTGAAGAAAGTTCCTTCTATTTTCAATATGCTAGGAGATGTTCTCATGCATCGTTGTCAAATCTTTCCAAATGCCTTTTCCACATCTGATGAAACGATTACATGGTTCCTTTTTTGTTTAGTTTTGTTAATTGGCATATTTTACACTAACTTTGCATTTCTGGGAAAACTCTGGTTGTGGTGCATTCATTTTTGTACATCTCTGGATTCAACTTGCTAACATTTTCTTCATGAATTCTGCACCTCTATAGAGAAATTGGTCTGTAATTCACCTTTCTTCCATTTTTTTTTACATTTTTACATTTTTACATTTTTGGTTCTTGCAACTTTTCTGTAAGTTTGTGTTCATTTAAAACTAAAAAGTTTAATACATCGGAAAAAAAGAGAATTAACACTCAATCTTCCAAATAATTAAAAAGAGAGAGAAGATAACTCCTACTTCATTTATGAGAATTAGAAAAATGTATACGTGGGAGGTGGTGAGTTTAGCAATTTCACATGTCACCATGTTGGACTCGATCATCAAGCTATTTTTTGGTGAAAAATGACAAGCTAATTTTAAAAGTTTATATGGAAGGGACTCCTGGATGGCTCAGTTGATTGAGTGTCCAACTGTTGATTTTGGCTCAGGTCATGATCTCACGGTTCATGAGATCAAGCCACCCATTGGGCTCCATGTTCAGCATGGAGCCTGCTTGGGATTCTCTCTCCCACCCCCTGCTCACTCTCTCTGTCTCTCTCTCTCTCTGCCCCTCCCCTACTCATGCATGCCCCCTCTCTCTCTCAAAAATAAACATTTTTTTAAAATAAAATATATATGGAAAAGACCACAAATGATCCACACACTTGAGAAGAAAAACAATGAAGTTAAAGGAGTAACTTTACCACGTATCAAGACATACTACAAAGTTACAATAATTATGGAATGGGGGCATTAATGCCAGAATTAACAAGGATACAATAGAAGAGAATGGAGTCCAGAAAAAGACTCAGACATGCGTAGACTCATTATGACAAAGGAGGCGCTGCAGTGGGGAAAAGTGTCTTTTCAGGGAAGGAGTCTGAGTCTGTTGGGTATCCTGATAAAAATATGAAATTTGACCCCTATCATACATGAAAATCAATTCTAGGACCATACAATTATATGTGAAATAAAGGTAACGAAACTTCTATAAATACCATAGAGGAATATCTTCAGGATCTTTAAAGTTCTCTTTAAAAGGACATAAGAAGGGGCACCTGGGTAGCTCAGGCAGTTAAGCGTCCGACTTCGGCTCAGGTCATGATCTCATGGTTCATGAGTTCGAGCCCCACATCAGGCTCTGTGCTGAGAGCTGCCGAGCCTCGCGCCTGCTTCGGATCCGGTGTCTCCCTCTCTCTCTGCCTCTCTACCGCTCATACTCTCTCTCTCTCAAAATAAATGAACATTTAAAAAAATTTTTAATAAAAGGATATAAGAAGCATCGTGTGCCAAAAAAAAAAAAAAAAGTTGACACACTAAACCTTGTTAAAGTTACGAACTTGGCTTATCAATAAACACCATTAAAAGAGCAAAAATAAAAAGACAAGAGTTAAACACCCAAAATAAATACATACATATTTGCACCACAAGTCACTGTCACAATTATCTGTAACATCACTATTTGCAATGATTAAGAACTGGAAATAAACCAAAACTCCACCATCAGTTGATGGATCAATACCTGGTCACATGGTCAATCAATGGAATGCTTTACAATAAAAAATGAAGGAAGCACTGCTATAAATAACTCATGCATGAATTACAAACATAGTATGGAATCAAAGAAGTTAGACACAAAATGAAACATACTATATGATTTTATATGAGGCTCAAAATAGAAAAAACTATCCTGTAGCATAGAAGTTGGGGGACTGGTTTTCTTCAGGCAGGAGGGCAGGGATAGTGATTGGTAGGGTATGAATGTGGCTTTTGGGGTGCTAATGATCTCTTTGTTGATATGGGTTGGGGTTACACGGCGTTCATGTTATTATGACTCATCGAGCTACACACTTACTACTTAACATACTTTCTCTGTAAATACTCAGATGTATTTAAATAATAGTGTTAATTTAATTTTTTTTTAATGTTTATTTTTTGAGAGAGAGAGAGAGACAGCGCACTAGCAGGGAAAGCAGAGAGAGAGAGGGGAAGAGAGAATCTGAAGCAGGCTCCACACTTTTAGCACAGAGACCAATGAGGCTCGAACCAGCGAACTTCGAGATCATGACCTGAGCGAAAGTCAAACACTCAATCGATTGAGCCACCCGGGCGTCTCAACAGTGTGTTAATTTTAACAGATATCCCTCTTAAATTCCTTGCCTTGACCTAAAGGCTAATAGCAATGAAAAGAACCATATTTTATCATGAATTTTCTCACTTTTAAAACAATTTTTCCACACTCTTTGCTCATAGGGACATTTCACTCAAAAAGCATCCTGAGTAGCAGTTAGCCCTTCCCTCTCTCTTACCTGAGCAGATCACAGAGGCTGTGTTTCCATGAGCACAATCAGGAATGCCCAGGGCAGTCATAGGACAATTCCACAAGAAAGACTCAGCCCCCGAGCAGTGAAATCGAGCTTTCCAAATCTGATCACCTCCTTCCACAAAGTATGCTCCTTTTGGAGCAGAGATAGCAACTCCACAGCCAAGCTGTTGACAAACAACATTGGCATTTGCCATATTCCAGTGTGAGGCGCAGAGGGCTTTCCAATGTCCAGAAATATTCATCTCCACTTGTCCCTCACACTGAGAGGTGCCATTTTTCATGAGCCGGACTTCCGTGTACGCTAGTAAGAGAAGACAGGGTTTCGGTGAGATCTCATGTTTTTCTTACCCCAGCAGAGTATGCAGCGAGGTTGAAGTCCTGCTCTGCATCTCACCTGAACAGGAAACTTGAACAGCCCTACGGTGGCAAGCACCTCCTGGACAGCACACTGTAGGGCAGAAGCGGAGCTCAGGTTCATCCCCCTTACACCAGAATTCTTCAGGCCACACTTGTCTATCTGACTCCCTGAAGGACACATCTCCCAGGAAAGACACAGCTTTGCCACACCCCAGCTCTGCACAGATGATCTGGGCAGTGAGGAATGTAAAGTTCCCATCAGATACTAGAGTCCAGTCTTTTCCAGAATGCACTTCTACCTGCCCTGAGCAGTGTCCATCCCCACCAGCTAGACGCACAAATCCTAGGAGAAAAAACAACAACAACAAACACAGGTAAATATTCATGATTCTGGCTTGGCAATTAGAAGTGACATGTCATGGACAATGGTATATGACAGTGACATGGCAAAGTAAAAAGTTTTTCTTTTCCCAGGCATTGGCACAGAAGAAAGGATTTAACAGTTGGTGGCAGAATGGGACCTCCATGAGTGAGTTTCTGAAGACAGACTATTTGGAGTAGGTGAATACATTTTGGGGTTGGTTAGAGAAGTGAATTCCTCATCTACAAGTCTTAGCCCAAGGAAACTGCATAATACATAGGCATTCAGACTTAAGTACAAAGGTATGAAAAACAGAACCAACCCAGTGGGACATGGGCTATGAGACAGTAGAGATGTATCAGCCAGACAAGGTTAGAAAGTCATCCTGAGACTTGCGGGGCTCAAATTCTGGTCAGCTTTCTCTCCTAGGAGTCAATCCTCAAGTGGCTGAGGATAGGGAAAATCATGAGGGCTGTATCCATGAATGCATGACAACCTGTTGACAGACTGATGGCTCAAGATTAGAAATATAGACATTATAACCGGTCACAGTTACGATTTCAAATTTAATCTTTCTGATAATTTTGGATGCAAAATATTCCATGAACTTCTTAGGTGACCCACATGGGAAAGAAGATGAGTATGGATGTTAAGAGAGCTCAGAGAATCAGGAGAGGAAGGGTATGTTCTAACCAACTCTCTTGAAACCCTAGGATATAAGAATAGCCACCTTGCGGGGCGCCTGGGTAGCTCAGTCGGTTAAGCGTCCGACTTCAACAACAGCCAAATTATGGAAAGAACCTAAATGTCCATCAACTGATGAATGGATAAAGAAATTGGGGTTTATATACACAATGGAGTACTACGTGGCAATGAGAAAGAATGAAATATGGCCCTTTGTAGCAACATGGATGGAACCGGAGAGTGTTATGCTAAGTGAAATAAGCCATACAGAGAAAGACACCATATGGTTTCACTCTTATTGTATCTATGTTAATATCAAACAAAGTAAGACTATAAGACAAGAAATATATTCAGAAATAAGAAACATTTCATGATGATAAAATACAAAAGAAATCATGCAATATCAAAATTAGTGGGATACAGCTAAAGCAGTGCTCAGAAGGAAATCTAGAGCCTTGACACTTCCTTGATGCATACATTAGAATAGAAAAGAAAAACTAAAAATAAATTATCTAAAATTCCAGCTCAAGAATCTATAAAAATAACAGCAAATCATAACAAAAAATGTAAACTAAGAACCAAAACTTAATGAAATAGAAAACAAATACACAATAAGTAAAATCAACAAAGTTCATTGGTGAATCCCTTAAAAATAAAACTGATAATCTTCTAGTAGACCTGATCAAGAAAAAATAAAATACACAGATTAACAATATCAGGGATGGAAAGGGGGTTATCATTATGGATCTTACAATATGCAAACGATAATGAGATATGAACAAACTTTGTCCTAATTTGAAAATTTTACTTATAATAGGATGAATCCTTGAAGACTAATTACTTGAAAAACACAATTTATCCAAAACGGATACCAAAAGAAATGGAAAATATAACTAGTCCTATATTTGTTAAAGAAATAGAATGCATATTATAAAAACTTCCCACAAAGAAAATTGCAAGTTTCAAATACCAGCACTTCTACAGAGCTCAAAAACTACTCCTACATCAACATAGAGGAAGAGAGGGAAGGAAGAAATGAGAACAAGAAGGTTAAAAACAGAAGCTGTAGTGAATATATGAATTAGCATGGATTTTCAGTCCCCAACCTCCCCTCCTTCAATTAATTGTATCTTCATCCCCTTACCATTCTGTACCTCAGTGCTGTGGCCCTTCCCAATCTGTGAAGCCCCTCCCCAATCTTTCTCCCCGAATCCTCTGAAATTCCCTCTTTATTTCAAACAAGCTCCTCTATATTCTTCAGAGATCATTCTTTCTACCTCTGAATTTCTCTTAAACACAATATTTTATTTCTAACAATCTACTAGAGGCTGAAATGTCTTTTTCATACACCTTTCCTAAAATTGAGAGAAAGGAAATTCAAGAATTCAATTTAAATTTGAAAATTTATAAAAGGCATGGTTGCCTGTTCTTATCTAGACTGCATCATTACCACTTTGACTTCCCTTTACACACTAAAACATGTTCTGGAAAATATAGAAACAGACCAGAGGGAATAAACTTCTGACAAAGAGATTAGAAGAAAATCGAAACAGTTCATAAAAATATGAAAAGTTAAAATTAAAGTGATGGTAATGGTGGTCAGGGAGTAAAAAACAAAATCAATGTTTAGATGCCATATCACTCTCAAACTCTTTTTGTCTTTAAGCATATCTTAACTGGAATTAATATCAAAAGCATCAATTTTCTTAAGGTAGTAATAGAAGTTCTGACATCACAGACTCCATTTTTCCTCAGATACTGATTTATCAAACAAAATAAGTCAGGTCCTCCTGTAGTGTTTACACAAGTTGATCTGCAGTTGATACCATGATTAGGACCTCATGACAATAAGGAACGTTACCTGAAATGCCAGAAAACAAGCTTTCTTCAAAAACCCTAACTGAAGGTAGTAAACTCAAATGCCCCCTTGAAAATAATTATTTTTTTAATAATAATAAAGAGGGTGGGAGGAAACTTTTGAGATGATAGATAGCTCTTATGGCACAGACTGTGATAACGCTTTCACAGATGTATACTCACCTCCAAACTCATCAAATTGTATGCTTAAGTATATACAGTTTTTTGCATGTCAATCATACTTCAATAAAGTAGTTCTCAAAAAAGAAAATAACTGTGTTTTTTAGGGACCTGAATTAGTATCATCAAAGATCTGCCAGGGGCGCCTGGGTGGCGCAGTCGGTTAAGCGTCCGACTTCAGCCGGGTCACGATCTCGCGGTCTGGGAGTTCGAGCCCCGCGTCAAGCTCTGGGCTGATGGCTCGGAGCCTGGAGCCTGTTTCCGATTCTGTGTCTCTTTCTCTCTCTGCCCCTCCCCTGTTCATGCTCTGTCTCTCTCTGTCCCACAAATAAATAAACGTTGAAAAAAAATTTTTAAAGATCTGCCAAAGTTACAATTTGAAAAGATCCACTTTTCCACCTCTCCCATGTCCCCTCTTTTGTCTGTACCTGACTGACCATCTCATGAAAGAAAACAAAAGAGCTACCATGATGAAACTTATTTCATCAATTGCTGGGTTGTACCTGTATGAAACATTTGACTCCACCTTCCTACTTCTTATGACAGATCATTGAGCTCTGAATGGCCTGTGACCCATAGGTCTGGAGCCTTCACTGTCCAGGGCCAAGCAAGTCCTTATGCTTCCTTGAATACCTAATACTCTAGGAGTCACTGTGTGACTGGAGTCTTCACCCAAACATGTGATCCTGCATTGTTAGTTATTCTGGGAATTAAACCAAGGCTACTCCTACTGGAGACCCCTCACGAGACCACACAGGCCTTACCTGAGCAGACTACTCCAACACCATTACTGTGGAAATCGTTTTTCTTTCTGTAGTTTTGAATATGAAAAGAATTACACTCATTGAGAGTTGATTCTGTACCTTTACAAACAATATATGTAAACCAAATAGGCCCAACCCCTGATCCAAAACGAGCCGCTCTGGGAGCATCAAGAGCATGTCCACATTTCAGCTGTCTGCACACCACATTTGCATCCTTCAAGCTCCACCAGTAATCATCCACTGTGCCCCATTTTCCTTGGTATTTCACTTCCACTCTCCCCTCACAGTGGTGTCTCCCATTCTTCAGACTCAGCTCCACAGCTGCAAGAGAGACACATACACAGAACACAGGACACAGGAGATTTTAGGAGACCATGCAGTGGTATTCTGGTAAGTATGAAAAAATGAGCTCTCTGGGTAGGGTGGAGGGGTGAGGGGGACCTTTCATGTATAACATTTGTCGATTTCTGTATTATAAACACTGTGATCAATTTGAAGCTACCAATGTGGCATCACTGAACATGGAGTTGGAAGAGATACACAATTATTTCTCACAAGCCAGCAAGACTCAGCTCCATGCATACCAATGAGGACAGACCTTCAGATGACTCTAGGTGCTACTGCCCTCCCAGTAGATTTGCATAAGGCTGGTAGGGGCCCAAATTCCTCCATCTCAGTTATGGTTCACAGTCCCCGAGGTCAGTGGAAGAATCTTCCCTTTCCTTCTCTGTCTCATGCAGAAGACTCTCATCTAGCTTTAGAAGAGAGGACCATGGTAAGCAGCCTCTAAACTGTCCTGATTATTCCTGCTTCCTGATATTCACACTCATGTAATCCCCCTCACACTCGAATGTGGCCTGAACGCAGTAACATTCATCTAACAATGGAATTTGGCAAAAGTGATGAGATGTTTCAAGAGGACGCTGGTTTCTCTCATTGACCCATCTTGCTCTCTCATTTGTTTGCTCTGATGAAGCCAACTGCCATATTTTGAGCTGCATGTGGAGAGATCCACATGACAAGAAACTGAGGGAGGTGTCTAGTCAAGAGTCAGCAAGGGACTGAGGCTCTAAGTTAGACACTCCACCAGTGGCTGAATGCTGCCAATAATCAAGTAAATAAGTTTGGGTGACATTCAGTCTCATTTGAACCTTAAGGTAATTGCAACCTTGTGAGAGATCATGAGGAACCAGATCAGAGATCAGAGATCAGAGGAACCAGAAAAGCCATGCCCAGATTCCTGGCCCATAGAAACTATGAGATCCTAGATAGTTGTTGTTTTAAGCTTCCAAGTTTGGCAGTAATTTGTTGTACAGCAATGTACTACTAATTTAGGGCTTCCCTCCAGGGTCAGAAAATAGCAGGGTGGACAAGATGGAGATTTATATGAGTGGCTTAATCATTTCATCCAAATAAGACTTCTTCCTGAGTGACCAAATCTGTGATCTTGGTCCTACTTGGAACTGGGACCCAAACCACCTCTTTCTTGTCATATCAGCTTGTCATCTAGTAGACTAAGTTCTTGTTCTCCTGTCAGGAACAGAGAAGTGGGTTTCCTGAGGCCCTAGAATCATCTCCATTAGCTTTGAATTGGGGTTAGCAAAATGAGAATTTTTCTCATAATATAATCAAGGCTTTGTCCCTGGGGTACCCATTTGCACTGCTCAGGTCTACACCTGGCTCCATATGCTTCCACTCTGGAAGTTAGAAGTGGTGTATCAAAAAGGGAAACATCTGGGAAGATGCTGAACTTGGAAAGACTCCTAGTGTGCTATTAGTCTTCTCAGGCCGCCATAACAAAACACCATAGACTAGGTGCCTTAAACAGAAATTTATTTTGTCACAGTTCTATAGTTTGGAAAGTCCAAGATCAAGGTGTTAGCAAGGTAGTTTTCATTCTGAGACCTCTTCTCTTGGTTTGTAAGCCACTGCATCTCACTGTGTGTTCACATGACTTTTTCTCAGTATGTGTACACAGGGAAAGATGGAGCTAGATAATTCTCTCCCTCTCTTCTCTTGTTATGAGGGTGGATTAGGGCCCCACTCTTATGACTTAATTTAACCTTAATTACCTCCTACAGACCATATCTCCAAAGACAGTCACATTGGGAACTAGGGTTGCAACATCTGAATTTTGGAGGGGCACAATTCAATCCACAACACCTGTGGAGGTCCATTCTAGGAAGGAAATGGAAGTAAATGGGAAGAAGGTAAAAGAGTAGAAGAAGGGAGACATCCTATGAAGCTTACTCAGTTTTTTAAAAAGTCTGACATGAGGTAATACATTGAAATAGGATTCTAAAAGTATACAAGAAACTATTATTAATAGTAACATCATAAAAATGATTATGATGATGATGATGATGATGATAACATTGATTGAGAGGCAGGTCCTGTGCTAAATGCTGTAAATGTAGAAAATAATAAGATAATGTTTTTGCCTTCAGGTAGCTTATATCTAGTTGGTGACACAAGCAAGCGGATGATTTCATGACTGTAAAAAATTCCAGAAGACTTTTTCAGTAATAGTAAGCTTGGTTATTTGAGGCTATCTCTTCTGCTGAAAATTAAAAAAAAAAGTGGAATAAAGCATACTAAAAGTGATCTTAAAAGATTAAAGACCTGATAAGATAGGAAGGAAAAATCAGGCCAAATCTGAAGGGAAAATGGGAATTCATTGCAACACAGGAGTATGCAATGTTTTTGCCTGGATAGAATTACCCTATACAAGAAAATGTGGCTTTCTCATGGCCTTTGATGGTGAGGAGGCATAAATCAAATCCAAATCTATACCCAGATGAGACATCTAACAGTCTCCACAATAAGCTGGGATACCAACTGAAATAGACATGCCCTTGTATAAAAGTATATTTAGTATTTGGATCTCTAGATTGTCTAGATAATATCAGTTTTCTACTGGTATTAAGGTGGCCCACCACTAATAATGCTATAAAATCATGGGAAAAATAAAATCCTCGCAGAAGAAATTGCCTTCATGCTAGGCCTCAAATCACTTCTATAAATATCATAAATAAAATGGCCAGTACATTGTCAAGAATAAACAGACACACAAAGAAACAGAAGTCCATTAACAATAACCAAGAGAGGGGTGCCTGGTTAGCTTAGTGGGTTGAGTATTCAACTTCAGCTCAGGTCATGATCTTGCGGTTTGTGGGTTCAGGCCCCATGTCAGGCTCTGTGCTGACAGCTCAGAGCCTGGAGCCTGCTTCAGATTCTGTGTCTCCCTCTCTCTGCCCCTCCCCCACCCACACTCTTTCTCAAAAATAAACATTTAAAAACAATTTTTAAGCAATAACCAAGAGAAACTACTGAAATGGATAAATACTTCTAATATTAGATATATCAGATATAGGCTATATAAAAACCATACATACTATATTTAAAGAAATAAAAATACACTCTTAAAGAATCTTCAAGGAACTAAAAAAAAAGGGTAGAAAAAAATTTTAAACCCAAAAGAACTTCTATAGGTGAAAAATATGTTTGTTGAAATTAAAATTTTTTCATCAGATTAAATTCAGGTACAGAGAATTGTTGATGTGAATAATAAGTCAGAAGAAATTATCTAGAATACTGCACAGAGAAACAAAAGAACAAAAAATACAGAAGAGAGGATCAGAAATATAAATGGAGCAAGAAGGTTTACACTAAAGTGAAATTGGGAGGGAAGACAGGAAGACAGAGAAAGACACACACACAGAAAGAGAGAGAAATGAGCAGAAGCAAAATTTGAAACATATTGCTATACATTTTCCAGAACTTATGAAACACTCTAATGCTTAAAGTGAATAAACCCAACAAAACTCAATAAGACATAAAAACGAGCTTATCTGTAGACATATCATAGATGTGGTAGACATGACTAGTGTTCAGCAATATTTCTGGTTTTCTCTGGACACATGTAAATATCAATACTTCCTTGCCTGTTTGAAGTTAATCATGACCTTGTGATCTGCCTTTTGAATGAAGTGTGAAAAGAATGATGTGTGGCACTTCCAGAAAGAAATATATAAAAGCTTGGGGCACCTGGGTGGTTCTGTCAGTTAACCGTCCAACTTTAGCTCAGGTCATGATCTAGCAGTTCATGAGTTCAAGCCCCATGTCAGGCTCTGTGCTGACAGCTCAGAGCCTGGAGCCTGCTTTGGATTCTGTGTCTCCCTCTCTCTCTGCCCCTCCCCCATTCACACTCTGTCTCTCTCTCTCTCTCTCTCAAAAATAAATAAACGTTAAAAAAAATTTTTTTTAAGTGGTGGCATAAGACAGTGAGGCATTCAACAACTTGAGAAGTTGAACAATTATAAGCAGAGGCCCAGCCAAACTGGACAGAATGTGTGGTGTAAGAATAAATAAATTTTGTTTATTTAATTCTTCTGAAATTTGGATTATATGTTACTACAACATAACCTAATTATTCCTGTTAAGATGATGAGAAATAGTAGAAACCTAACAAAGAAAAAATGTTTAAGAGAATTGGTACACATAACCTCCAACTGAGCAACATCTATACTAACATTTAAGTCCTCAAAAACAGAGAGATACAAGTACATAGTAGAATGAAGCTTTAGATGATCCAAAAGAAAAACAAATTGCCAATCTAAATTGCTATACTCAGGAACACTCTATTTAAAAACAATGGTCTCAGAAGTGACATCACCAAAATGGCAAAGTAGGAGACACTATTCCCACCACCCCACAAAATGATCAACAATTGAATAGCTTTCCATGAACAATAGCACTCTCACAAAGCTCAGAAGTCCACTTAAGAAATTTTAGAAACATTAAGACTGCATATTTTGGCAGTATCATCCCATCCCTTAAGCCAGCATTGCTTAGCACACAGAGGGAACTTCCTAGCTAGAAAGGGTTCCCCTCCAGCCCTACCTCCACCTAGCCTGATCCCTAGCCATTAGCTCTAGAAGCACTGCTGAGGCTCCAGCAGCCCTTGCAGCCACTGCAGACCCTCTGCAGTGCTTGCTAAGATCCATGCAGTTGTCAAAACTATGGCCCTCAGGAGCCTGAGCTGGAGACATCATGCTCCCCAGACCTACTGCTGCCACACACCCCTGCATCACTAGACCTAGGTTATAGCATGCTATAGTATGCCCCCACTCACAGGTAAAGGTCTTCTCCTACCAAAGTCAGTCTGTAATATCTGGAAGAGGTTACTGTTCTTCAAAACACACATACATATGTGCAAGGCTACAGGGATTAAGAAAAAACAGGGGGAAATGATTTTACCAAAGGAATACAGTAAACGTCCATCCAGTACATGGTCCCAAAGAAATGGAGACACAGGAATT